ATTCAACATGACCAAAAAAGTGACCTTCCACCAGAGTCAGTCAAGAACAGGAGTCCTCACCAGAACTGGAACCAGGGTCCAGAGACATCAGGCATGCGTAACATCCCAGAATAAGTCATGTCAAGCATGCTACCAGCCTTTGTAATGGATTTCATCTTTGTTCCAATAGCCTTTCCAATGGAATTCATCTTGGCTACTTCCTGTGCATGCATCTGATTTTCATAAGCCCACCTATGTCATGAATAAAGATGATGCCTTTTTCTGCCTAAAACCCTTTATAAACCCTAGGAAATCCTTTCCTTGGTGAGAGATTGGAGGCTACCATTGGTGAAATCCTTTCTCTGTCTCTCCCTCGCAAACCCCTCCCGTCCCTTCTCTTTAATAAACTTTAGTTAGTGTATTTCTACGGAAGTATATTGATTGTCCCATCTTCCTTCTGAGGAGTGGCTAGTGGGCTTGAACCATCATCCTTTTGGTTAGCAGTCAAATGCCTTAGGCATTATGCCACCAGGGATCTTTTAGTTAGTGTGGACATTTTGCCTCTCTTTTTCAATTTTTTGTCAGTAGAAGGTAAGAACCCTTGTTCAGGGTCCCAGGACCCTCTGGAACAACAGTACATCTAAACAATTACGTTCCACCCAAATGACACATGTTGTTGTTGTTGTTATGTGCCGCCAAGTCAGACCCAACTCATAGCAACCCCTCTTTGGGTTTCCAAGGCAGTATCACTATGGAAGTAGATTGCCCCACATTCCTTCCGAGGAGTGGCTGGTGGGTTTAAACTGCCAACCTTCTGGTTAGCAGTCAAGTGCCTTAGGCACTACGCTACCAGAAAGAAAAGGGAAATAATTAGGACAACTAGTATGGCATAATTTTGAATGATCTAATAAATGAATCCCAATAAAACAAAAACCAAACCTTTTACTTTTGAGTCGATTTCAACTCATAGCAACCTTCAGAGTAGAACTGTCCCAGAGGATTTCCAATGGTTGTAAATTGTTACAGAAGCTGACTTTCACAACTTTCTCCACAGAATCGATAGTGGGTTTGAACCACTGACCTTTAAGTTAGCAGCCGCACTCTTAACCGTTGAGTCGAACTCCATATTGAATGATTAACAGAATTTTTCTCTGTAGAAAAGATAGGTGGTAAGTGCTCCAGATACACATGTGGAGATTATGTTAATGCCTGTTTTGAGAAACAAAATAACATGATTGGATTCACATTTTAATTGGATCACTCTGCTATGCTGCCACAAAATTAGAACAAGGTAGGATGGAATCTGGAAGAGCAGATAGGTGGGATTTTAATAATCCAGAAGATAGATGAAGGTTGTTTCTATTAGGATGAGATGCTGTATCTTATTGGCTTTATCAATTTCTCAAAAGGTCAAAGCCAGTAAGAGTTGAAGGTACTATCTGTGGGTGTGAAACACCAAGGTTTTTGGCCTGAGCTATATTATATTCCTAATTAAATTTCAACGTTGAGGCCCTCAACGAGATGAATTGACACAGTGGCTGCGGCTGTGGGGTTAAGTATAGCAGGGATGGTGGAGCTGGCGCAGGACTGGGCGGTGCTGCATTCTGCTGCGTGCACAGGGTCGCTATTAGTCAGAGGCGACTCTACAGCACCTAACAACAACTAAATTTCAGATTTGAAAGGAACTTTAGAAATCTTCTAATGGAGCCTTTGCTTCTATAAAGGAATTCTGTCTAAAACATCTTCTACCTGCTTGAACATTTCAGTGATAATGAACTCACTACCTAACACATTACCCATTTCATTTTAGAATAACTTTGGTTTTATGAGCTTTATTCCCTTCTATTATGTCAAAATCTACCTCTATATAATGGACAAGTGAGTAGGAAAAGATGGAAAAACTAGTAGAAAGTAGATAAGGAAAAAAGAGGGGATGGACTGTGTTTGTTTTCATAATTAGTTTATGTCTACCATATAACAAGGAGCTCTGGTAGTATAGTGCCTAAGGCACTGGACCGCTAACCAGAAGGCTAGCGGTTCAAACCCACCAGCCACTCCTCGGAAGGAAGATGGGGCAATCTACTTTCGTAGTGATACTGCCTCAGAAACCCAGGGAGGGGTCACTATGAGTCAGGTCCAACTCCACAGCATACAACAACAACAACAAACATATAGCATAGAGCCCACCATTAGGTATATAATAAACATTTTTTACTGTCCGAACAATTTGGAGAAAGAGTATGGGTTATAATAATAAGACCACAGGATTTTAATCTATTCATTAATATGATTAAAATGAAGAATAAAATTAATTTCTTTTTCTTTCTCTTCCCTATGCTTATGTAAAGGAGCTCTGGTGGCACAGTGCCTAAGGCATTTGACTGCTAACCAGAAGTTTGGCAGTTCAAATCCACCAGCCACTCCGCAGAAGGAAGACTGGCCAATTTACTTCAGTAAAGATTTACCACCATGGAAAGCCAAAGGAGGTCGCTATAAGTGAGAATTGAATCCATGGCAGTGAGTTTGGTTTTTGTTTTTATGCTTATGTGTATATCTTGTTGATTCAGCCAGTTTATGTGTGACAGCGGTAGCTTTAAACAAATGAAGAACCATCATATTTTAATTTATAGCTTCCTGGTATTCCCAAATATCATCTTTATTTAAGTGTAGATGTCCTTCAAATAAGAAGTGACATTCAAAATATGTACTCATACAGTTTGGCTACCAACTAATCAGAATGGAATGCAGCCAGCCTTGTGCATACCAGCTGAATATAAGCTTGTTTCAAACTATGGAAGAATCAAGCTATTACACTGCTTGATTTAAATAGTACTTATTTCTATTTTGCCTTTATTGTAATGAACAGCCCTGTCTTAAGCTCCCGCTGTGCAATTTTGGAGGGTCTTCCATATGGTTGCTGCTAAGTATTTTGGCATTTTCCCAACTGTTACAATTGGGTCAGTGGGGGGGATTGTGTAGGAGTAATAAAACAAGGGTGACTGCACTAGGGAGGAGTAGATTACTACACACATAACAGTTTATTGCCTCTCCTTCATTCGAGCACAGATCTATGCCATGCATTATAACATGAAGCCGGGGCAAGCTGCCTTTTTGCCATAGAGCTGACTCCAGGAAAGGTGGGGCCTTGGGTACAGAAACTGTCCTCTCATTTACATTTTCCCTAACATTTCCTTACTTTACCTTCTTACAATATCTAAAATAAAGTGAGGAGTAAGACTATTATACCTTGCACACTACTGTAAGTCATTCTCAGAAAATTTTTCATGAGCAGACTCTTAGCTAAATTTTAGCAGCAGCAGGCTTATTGGAGGTTGTTATCTGGGCTTTGTTACTCAGGCTTATTATGTTGTTGTTATGGGCCCTGGAGAGTCAGACCTGACTCACAGGGACCCCTCCTTGGGTTCCGAGGCAATATCACTACAGAAGTAGATTGCCCAACCTTCCTTCCCAGGCTTATTATAGGAAAAAAAAAAAAATGAGGAAGAGAAGTTTGATTACTTCAAATACATAAAAATGCTTGAGACAAGATTTATAAATCTAGAAGTGGCTTATTGGAGTGTCTATGTCAACAATCATATGTATGAAATAAATACTATTATTTTTTTCCCTGTAGAAGGCTGTATTTTTTAAAGTATCAATAAACTAGGGATAATACCTAAGGCACTTGACTGCTAACCAGAGGCTGGCGGTTCAAATCCACCAGCCATTCCTCGGAAGGAAGGTTGGGCAATCTACTTCCGTAGTGGTACTGCCTCGGAAACCCAAGAAGGGGTCGCTATGAGTCAAGTTTGACTCGACGGCACACAGCAACAACAACAAGTAGAATTACGATACAAAGTAGTGAAATAATATACCAAACACATGAACACGTGTATACACACAGACACAAAGAATGAACTTAAATTCTTAATCCAAAGTGTTTTTTTCCCCTATATGTATGCTATCAAATAATTGTGCTTTTCTTTTAGCATAATATGGAGGTCCTCTCATGTTAATTACTAACATACACCTGTTGTTATTGTTGTTATGTGCCTTGGAGTCAGACCAGACTTATAGCGACCCCTCCTTGGGTTTCTGAGGCGGTATCACTGCGGAAGTAGATTGTCCAACCTTCCTTCTGAGTAGTAGCTGGTGGGTTTGAACCACCAGCCTTCTGGTTAGCAGTCTCAATAGCATTCTAATAGTTTCACAGTAACCAATTACATGAAATCAAAATTTTAAAGGAAACTTTAAAATGGTATACATACTTTTTTCCTTATGTTTCTAGCCAAGAATATTGCATTAAGAAAATTGCTCTCCATTCCCTTCTATCCCGCCATCCCCAACACTGGACATCAGATCCCAGGAGACCCACAGCAGGTTCTTGGCGCCCTAGTGGCCCAGGACTGAAGGTGAGCGAGTCAGGGCGGAAAAGAGCGTGAACTCTCGGCACTAAGTCAGCATTAAAATTAGCCTCTTAACATCATTCAGGTAAAGCCATAGTATTATTATCGATAACGACAGGACTGTCGTAAGTCCACTCAGAGTGGGTCCAAGCGGTTCCAGGAAGACCACATTTGTTTTCGGACTCTGGAGATCCCTGAACTCCAGCTTCCTTCGGGTTAAGAGGAAAGCACTAAGTAAAAGTCAGAAATCAGAACAGAACCCACGAATACAAGTACCCAAACACTGCTCGCCGTCTTCCACGCTCTGGCAATACCTAATGTCCCAGAGTCGCCCCGCTGAGACCCTGAGAGCCCAAAGAGCAGACAGCAGCAGAGGTGAGGGCAGTGGCAGCGACTTCACAGGTCCTAGTGCGCAGGCGCATGCGCACAGCGCGCAGGCGCCACCGAGAAGTGACTTCTCCAAAAAAGTGTCTTAGTTCCTGGTCACCTGAGCTTGGACGACGCTGCTGCGGTAGTTTCTCGGGTGTTTTCTGGGCACCCTTCCCTGTCTGCCTGCCCATCCGCTCCACCACCCCGAAACCTCCAAGGGCCTGTTCTTTCTAAGGGCCTGTCCTTTGCCTCTTGCCCTTTCCCAGCTGCGGGTCGGACCGGGCCGAGTCGGACCACTCGGGCGCGGTCCCTGACCATGGCGTCCCTCTTCAAGAAGAAAACCGTGGATGGTGAGTCCCAGGCTAGGCCAGAGGTGCCCAGCTTTGCGTTTCCTTGATGTCTTTGGGGGTTTTCGGGCTGTGATCCTGCTGCTGTCCCTGGGGGCGGGGCTGGATAGAGTGGCCCCACAGGTGAACGCCCTCGCTGCGTCACTCTGCTTCACCATCTCTCTGACTCCCAACTCAACCTCACCTGGACTTTCTGGGTTTTTCCCTCTGACATCTCTCTGTCCTCGCCCCCGTATTTTCTTTAATGGAATCCTGAGCATTTCGGAGAGGTAGAGTGCTCCTGGACCTTCAATGTCGTTAGACTTGGTGATCTGATGAATGTCTTGTTGGTTTCTTCTGCTTGGTTTGTTGCTCCTTCAGTCTGGAGCTGTACTACTTCTAGGCACGCAAGCTGGAAACGTGTGTTGGGGGGCGGGGGTTGTGATGGTGATGATGGAGAGAAGTGAAAGGCTTCAGTTACAAAATGAACTTTAGCCTGGGCTGATCTTGTCCTGAGAACATCCCATCAGTAGCAATGTGTAACAAATGCTCTCTATTGACCCCAGTAGCAAAAGAAAAGAAACCCAAGGGAAGTGCCTAGATTTGGCTTCATAATAGATTTTCTGTCTTTTCTTTTGCTAATTAATGTGGCATGTATTATTTGCATGAAAGTTTAAATTTTAACAATACTTGCATTATTTCAGACATTTAGCTCACTATCTTAAAATGACAACAGTTGAATGTATGGGGATATACATGTTTTATGTACATTCTGTATCTATAATGTATTATCAGTTATGCAATGCATAGTAGCACTGATTACTTAGTTAAATTTTCATTGATTACTACTAAGAACTAAATTTCATTCAAGAAATAAAAAAATCTTGTTTTCCATTACATGTTGCTTATAGGTTGTTGCTGTTCAGCTGAAGAATCGTTTCTTTGTAAGGGTCTAACTCTGCCACAAAAGGAGCAATGGTAGCTAGACAGTGATTGGTACAAACAGGGTGCTCAGTCCAGACCTGGGGATAACTCCTTCATTCCTTTGTATTGACTACTCAAAGCCAGCAAAACTGTTTTGAGGGAGAAAACAAAGACATTATCCTTATTCTACCACTCCATCCTTCAGTGTAACACACATTGTCATTCTAAAATTCTTTTATCACACAACACAATCCATTATTGCTTATTCTGAGTGGTTTAAAAAATTAGTTTATAGACTTTGATTAAATGGGAAGTACCATATAATACCTGGGATAACTATCAATTTGCTCTTTGATATAATGCCATTATATGCAATTGACTATGCTGTGTGATCTTTAACATGACAGTTTATTTTTTCACTCTTTCAGGATCAGTATTCTGATCTTCAGTGATTATATATAATACTCCAGGAATAAAATAAGTTTTATTTTCTTGATGTTTGAATTTTATTTGAAGTGAGAATTTACTAAGTAGAAGGAGGAAAAATATATTTTTCTTACTCTGATGTTACAGCTTACATTTTAAAACTTTTTGTCATATTAAAAGCCAACACATCTTAAGTAGTTTTAATGGCATAATATGTGTCAAATATTTCCAAAGACATAGATCTCAGTTCTGTATTATTTTCACTGCTATACTTCATGGTTCCTTTGGTAATGTAGTGACTTGTACTTCAAGCGTAGAAGGGAGCAAAAAGAAAAAAAAAAAAAAGACAATGTGGAGTAATGGTATTTAACTGTATACTCATTTTTACTTAATTTTTCAAGGAAATAATGTTTTTGCTAAATAGACTGACTTATGAAAAAAGTTTTAAAGACTTTTGCTAAGTCTGTTCTACTAAATTTAAGATGTATGTCTGAAATTTTTGAATGTAAATTTTACAACCATGTATGCTTACTATAAATACCAGGCTACAGACTTAGTAGCATGCTTTATTAAAGAATAATGTCAATTCTAATCATTTACTGATAGGACATTTTTAATTATGAATCTGTATTTTCATTATTTTTGTATAGAGCTTTACAGATGTTTCTACTCCTTGTTTTATTAAAATGAAGGCTTTTTGTTTTGTTTTGTTTAAAAGGTGACAGTGTTCTGCTTAGCAGTAATGAGGCTATATATTATGATATTTAATGTATTTTTATGCATTTCTTTCAGATCCTTGGACTTGCTGATTATTGATCATAAGGTCTTTTACTGTATGATGTCTTTTTTATCTGTTTCAGCAGTAATGAAATTCTGATATATAAGGGGAATATGCAGCTGCTTATAGATCTGGGGAATAATTGAATCTTTTTGTCTCTGGATTGGCTAGAAGAGTTATATACTCTATCATAAAGACTACTGCACATGTAAATTAAAAAGGGAGACAACATTATAGCACTTATTACTATTCAAAGTTATGTTTAATTCATTTTTGACACAAAGATGAATAAGTCTCTGCAGTATACACTTTGTTACAGAAATTAATGAGAGGTGTACCTCAATGCCAGAGAAGAGTTCTTTTGAATTTGAATTACATTGTTTTTCCTTTTACTGACTTTGACTTGTTTTATACACACATAAAAGCATAGTGGAGCCCCTCAGTGATGCAAACATTTAGTACTCCATTAGGGAGCTCTGGTGGCATAGTGCCTAACGCATTTGACTGCTAACCAGAAGGCTGGCCATTCAAACCCACCAGCCACTCCTTGGAAGGAAAGTTGGGCAATCTACTTCCGTAGTGATACCGCCTCGGAAACCCAAGGAGGGGTGGCTATGAGTCGGATCCGACTTGACGGCAGTGAGTTTTTTTTTCTTTTTTTTTTTTTATTAGCTGAAAGGGTGATGGTTCAAATTCATCCAGAGGCACTTTGAGAAACAGACCTGGCGATCTGTTTCCAAAAGGTCACAGCCTTGAAAACCCTATGGAGCAGTTCTATTCTTCATACATGGGGTCACCATGAGTCAGAATTGACTTGTGGCAACTAACAACATACAGGCACACAAACACCAGGCCTATTGCTGTCAGATTGATTTTGCCACATGGCGACCCCATGCGCTACGGAATAGAAATGCTCCATAGGATTTTCTTGGTTGTAATCTTTATGGAAGCAGATTTCCAGGCCTTTCTTCTATGGTGGGTTTAATCTGCCAACCGTTAGGTTAGTAGTCCAGCGCAAACCATTGTATCACCTAGGGACCTTCATTATATATGTATATGTTGACATAGATTATATACTTAATATATCCAAATATATTATGATATGTATCTACATATATTGGGTTGCACAAATGGTTAAGCACTTGACTGCTAGCCAAAAGATTAGCAGTTTGAACCCACCAGAGATGCCTTGGAACAAAGGCCTGGTGACCTGCTTCCAAAGGATTGTGGCACTGAAAATCCTATGGAGCACACTTAGGCACCGTGAGTCCGATTCAACTCAGTGGCAAATAACAACAACAACATACTGTTATGTTATGTACACATACTACTGTTGTCCTTTTTCCTCATTGGACTGATAGTGACTTTTTATTGAAAGTAATGATGAACCTGTAAATCAGGCTGAGTATCCATCATGAATGCACAATTCCTTAAAATGTGAGGTTCTTCAAGCACTTTTTTTTTCTTCTGTTATTCTCAATTTAAATTAAAAAAAAAAAAAGGAAGAAAGAAGAAATTCTGAGATCCTAGTTTAAGCCAGTATTGTGCTAGACTTTTTACATGCAGTATCTTATTTAATCAGTGCAATTTCTTTTTGCTCTTCTTCTGAACCTCTTGAAGAGTAGTTGTGTCTCTTATCTCTAATTCTGTACTTCCCAGACACTCCTCCATTTCCACAGCAGTTTGCTTTCATCTCCAGGAACCAGTTCTTGGTAAGATCATTAGTGACTTTTAGAATTGTCAAATCCGACACCATTTTTTGTTGTTCTCATCTCCTGGGCCTGTCTTTTGCATCTGACCCTGATAATAATTTCTCCCTTTAAATTCTCCATCTTGGCTTCCATTACTAAACACTCTTAGTTACTCTATACAAATTCCTCTGACCACTCCTTTTCTTTCTCTTAGATTTTTCTTCTTCTTCTTTTTTTAATCTTTCTCCTTTCTTCTTCCCTTCCTTCCTTCTCTCTTTTTTTAAACGTTAGTGTTCTTTGTTCTATATTGCTATTTTCACTGTACATTCTCTCTTATATGATTATAACTGAAGTGCTGATAGATTGTATACGTGCATCTCTAGATTTATTTTTTTCTGAGTTTCAGACCAATATATCCAACAGTTTGTTGTATATCTGTTAGATGTCCTAAAGTACCTCAAATTAAAAAAACGCAAACAGAATTCGTCACTGCCTCATTTAAATCAATTTCTTTCCTATGTTGGCAGTTTTGATTTTTTCCTCCATTTTCAATTAATTACCAAGCCCTGCACATTTTGCCTCTTAAGGATTTGGCATATATGATGTTCTGTATGTGCCTGCAACTCCTTAACCTTGCATTTTATAATTTTTCTGCTCTCTTTTCCTTTAGACTTACAACCCTCAAATCCATCATCTACAGAGTTGCCTGTGTGATTGATATACCTTAAACCAAAATCTGACTATGCCACTCCTCAGTGTAAAATGCTTTATTGAATCTCTGTTACTTACAGGATCAAGGGCAAGTTCATTATTAAGACATATATAGCCCCCCTTGATCTGACCCCTGCCTTTGTAATCATGTCTCTGGACATTTTACTGTCCAGCAACACAGTTGCTTTTACAGTATTGAGTGTGGTGGTGGTGGTTAAGTGGTCACTGCCGTTGAGTAGATTTTGACTCATAGCGGCTCTTCCTTGGGTTTCCCAGCAGTATCTCCACAGAAGTAGATTGTCCTTCCTTCCAGTCTTCCTTCTGAGAAGTGACCGGTGGGTTTGAAATGTCAGCCTTCCAGTTAACAGTCAAATGCCTTAGGCACTACGCCACCAGAGCTTCCACAGTATTAAGTATATACCGTATTTTTACTTATATTTGGCATATTTTGTTTATTATGCCCTTATACCTACAATTCTCTTTTTCCTTTTCTT